CTTCATTAGGAATTATACACAAAACAATTAACATCTCAGTTCCAATGATTACAATTGGAATGCTTGAGAAGGTTAAAAAAGTATTGTATGATAGTATGTATCATTATTGGAATTCTGTTACAGACGTCGGCATATTGGCATATTTACTTGATCTACATTTTAAAAAGCTATGTTTTGCTAACACAAACGTGGTTATACAAACTAAAGAATACTTAAAAAGTTTGTATGAATTGGAATGTGAAATTCACCCAACTTCTAAATGTCCAACGTCTTTGTCAAATATTCAGCATGATGATCATGATGATTTTGAAGCTGGTAGAATTCCAAAAAAAATAAAAATCAATTTTATTAGATTTATATGCTGATGACAATGATAAAATTAGTGAAATTGATAATTACTTAGCTTTAGAAAAGGAGGGGAGACGAATTGATCCTTTTCAATGGTGGAGCCTTAAAAAAGAACAGTTTCCTATATTATCAAAAATTGCACAGAAGTATTTGTGCATATCAGCAACTTCAGTCTTATCTGAACGGTTATTTTCAGATGTTGGAAACAATATTACACCAAATCGCACAAATCTTGATTCAGAATTAGTAAGTGAGATGTTATTTTTAAAGAGAAATATGGATTTATTCGATACAATATTTCCAAATAATGAATAATTAACTTGCTATATATTTGCATTACAACTTGTAATTTGAGATATTTGCTTTTATAAATAAAAGATAACATCCCTAATATATAAATATAACTAGTATATTTTTAAAATACATTTATAATTTATAATAAATAATATTTTGACTCGAGTAATTCGAATAAAACTCGAAAAAATAATTCAATCACATGATTCGAATATATTCGAATACTCTTCTGAGTTTAACTTGTGAGTTATGAGATATCACGAGTCCAGTCCCTAGATAACAGTTGTAAACAAGATAGTCAAATTTTTGCATCGTGACTATATTGCTAGCTTTTGGTATGAACAGTCTGAACTTTTCTTATACCAAAATGCAATATTATTATGAGATCTCTCATCATTATGCATGTACATACATATTCGTACGTTTAATAACTTTATTTAGATCTACGTTCCAATTGAACAAGAGTGAATAAAAATTGGAATTGTTTAGTCGAATAAAATTTCATCGTTGTTCCAGATTCTTTTATGTTAACCATGGGCTAAAATTACCTTAGTGCAGAGAGACAATTAAGTGGTTAAATAATTAAAAAAAATTTTAATGCTTTATACCTTTATAGTAAAATCATTCTCTCATATAATAACTGCTAAAAATATAATAATTTATCGCTGTTTCAAAATTCTGTGTCCCTACTAGGGACTGAACTCGTGATAACTCGTGACTCACGAGTTAAACTCAGAAGAGTATTCGAATATATTCGAATCATGTGATCGAATTATTTTTTCGAGTTTTATTCGAATTACTCGAGTCAAAATATTATTTATTATAAATTATAAATGTATTTTAAAAATATACTAGTTATATTTATATATTAGGGATGTTATCTTTTATTTATAAAAGCAAATATCTCAAATTACAAGTTGTAATGCAAATATATAGCAAGTTAATTATTCATTATTTGGAAATATTGTATTGAATAAATCCATATTTCTCTTTAAAAATAACATCTCACTTACTAATTCTGGATCAAGATTTGTGCGATTTGGTGTAATATTGTTTCAAATATTTGAAAATAACCGTTCAGATGAGACTGAAGTTGCTGATATACACAAATACTTTCGTGCAATTTTTAATAATATAGGAAACCATTCTTTTTTAAGGCTCCACCATTAAAAAGAATCCATTCGTCTCCCTCCTCTTCTAAAGCTAAGTAATTATCAATTTCACTAATTTTATCATTGTCATCAGCATATAAATCTAATAAAATTGATTTTCGTTTTTTTGGAATTCTACTAGCTTCAAAATCATCATGATCATCATGCTGAATATTTGACAAAGACGTTGGATGTTTAGAAGTTGGGTAAATTTCACATTCCAATTTATACAAACTTTTTAAGTGTTCTTTAGTTTGTATAACCACGTTTGTGTTGGCAAAACGTAGCTTTTTAAAACGTGGATCAAGTAAACATGCCAACATGCCGACGTCTGTAACAGAATTCCAATAATGATACATACTATCATACAATACTTTTTTAACTTTCTCAAGCATTCCAATTGTAATCATTGGAACTAAGATATTAATTGTTTTGTGTATAATTTCTAATGAAGCGTAAACTTCTTTAATCTCACCAATGTTTTTTGTATCATCGATAATTTCTTCTACAGAATCGAGAATTGTTAATTCACCCATATCTGTTGAAGCTGATTCAATATAAGATTGTTGTAATAATATTTTAAAAGTTTTCACTAATGTTGAAATAGCTGGATATATTAAAAAAATTGTTACATAAGTATTTCCACTTAGTAACGTCGTTATTTCTTCAAAACCACACAATATATCATTCAATTCATCTAAAAATATCTATTCATCATCACTAAGTATAATACGTGCTAATCATTCACAATCCTTTCGTATGGGTGCACTTTCATCTGATTGAAGCCGTGATGGAAGGTATACTATCACTTTTTTTAAATAAGGAAGTCTTTCCCATCCGTAAAATGATGAATTCCATCATGTGGAAATATCTTCAATGGTTGATAAATATTTTTAAACCCAAGGTCTCTTTGTGTGGTAAGGAAATATTCGGTTTGCTTAGGTGAATTATTAAAAAAATCAATCAATCGTTTTACACATAAAACCAAATGCCTAATCATGTTTAACCCTTTCCCAACAGACAATTGAAGCACATGAGCTGCGCAAGGAATCCTATCAAGTTCTAATAGTCGGGCAGC